AAAATATATAATACAATGCCTTCTGTTATCCTCAATCGAACAGTTTCCCCATTACTTCACTCTGTAAAAGATCAGACAGAAGTTCATTTTAAAACAAAGCAGTTTTCTCACACACATTCCACTTGACCCAGCATGCCCTTTCAAAGCAATTCACACTCATGATAATAAAAATTTTTTCAGGATTCCGATGAAGCTTTTAGGTAAATATTTTACCAATGCCTTCTGTTATCCTCAATCGAACAGTTTCCCCATTACTTCACTCTGTAAAAGATCAGACAGAAGTTCATTTTAAAACAAAGCAGTTTTCTCACACACATTCCACTTGACCCAGCATGCCCTTTCAAAGCAATTCACACTCATGATAATAAAAATTTTTTCAGGATTCCGATGAAGCTTTTAGGTAAATATTTTACAATGTGAGCCAAATCCTACTAGAAAACATTTAAGAGGACAAAACTGCAACCTCATTTTTATTAGTCCTACTCGAGTCTATAAGTCTAAGTCCAGTAAGAAGCATTAAAAACAGGCTCCGAAATTTACAACTCTCCACTCATCAATAAATATTCACAAAGTCGAAAGGCAACCGGAAATCTTACACATTTTTATGCTTGACAAACGAAGCCCTTAACACCAAGGCCTGTTGACTAACTCAGCACAGATGAGATACTTCTAGTACCTCATCACATGGCATGAAGGGCCCGTGGTTAGATTCAGGTTTAAAAATCAATGATATCAGCAAGTATGGTTTCTTTGGATGGAAGCCATTCTAAAATGGAGAAAGGAATCAAAGTTGTCAACATCATGACACGTTTCTTACTATAAGAGTCCTTGTTAAATAGTGAAAAGAAAGAGTAGGGTGGCGAACTGAAGGATAAAAATAAGACATGTTGAGCATGCTTTCAAGACTGGGCAAAAGAAGCATTCGGAGAGAATAAGGCTGAAGCTATGGGAAGGAGAGGAGTTACCAGAAGAGGAAACAGGTTGTTTCCTACTGTAAACCCCAGGAAACTGGAGAGGTCAGCTCACAAGGATAAAAACAACAAGGGTTTATTATACAGGATCTTCTGCAAACTCACCCAAATTAGCACTTTAAAGCAAAGCATGTACTACAATAGGTCACACGATGAGCGGCCTATAAACCTGAGGTGTGCCCCGCACCACCAAAACGCAGGTCTGGTACAGCGTGGGTCTAGATATGGCTCCAAACCCTCACGCGCTCACAGGTGGGGCTTTCTCAGAGGGGCTGGAGATGGGATGTGTGGTGCTGGGATTTAGGGGGTTTGGTTACTACGTTAGTCCACGGACTGGTTTGGCACAGCTCTAGGTGTGAGTGTTACCCACACCCTAAGGAGGGGTAGCCGAGGTAACATACAAAGGGCCTGGAAGAAGCTGCCATGGTCACTTGTTTCGGCCTGCCTTCTCCCCCACGAGCTATTTCTCCTCTACCATGCCCCTCTGCCGTGCCACCCTGCCTTGAAGCCAGCCAAGTGTGGGCTGAAACCTGTAAGAACTGTGAGACGAAATAATCCTTTCCTTCCTTTAACTTTGGGAGTCAGGTATTTTGTCTCAGCAATGAGGAAGTAACTAAGCCACAGTCCACCATCCTTTTTAGGACACTCAACCTATCTCTGAGGCCTGTGTACAGCTATCAGCCTTAGATGTGGGTTCTGAAAGGCACATTTCAATGATGAGTTGCCCCGCTCTGGGTCTACAGGAGAGTGCGTTGCTTTTTTTCCCCATTAAGTTCATTGGTACATTTGAGGTGTACAACACAGTTACACTCATCATTGGGAACTTGTACCTTTACATGATGTATCTCGGTTCTTATTTTTTCCTCATTCGTCTGCCCTCCCTTCACCCCTCCAACCTTCCCTATTTACTTTTTCCTGGCCTCATATTCTTTTCCCTCTTTCCTTTCCCCTACCCCTCCCACTTCCCCTAGCCTTTTAGACCTTTTCTTCATATTTCACATTATCAATTATACATTTTTATCCTTTTGTACACTTAGTTTTTCACACCAGAGAAACTATTCAGTATTCACAAATGTGTGTCCTATTTATTTCACTTGAGTATTGCCTCAGTGTGCATCCATTTAGCTATAATTATCTCTAGTTTTTCATTCTTTGTGGATTAGTACTACACTTTGTAAAAAAAAAAAAAATCAAACAAAAAAACCCAACACACATGTTCTTTATCCAGTCTCCAGTTCTTGGACAATTGGGCTGTTTCCAAGCTTTAGCTATTATAGACTGTGCTGCTATAAACATGGGTGTGCCACATATCACTGTGGTATGCGTCTTTTAATTCTTTTGGAAAGATCCCCAGCAGAGGGACAGCTGGATCAGATGGAACCTCTAACCCTAGTTCTTTGAGCTATCTCCATACTCATTTCCAAAGTCCAAACGACCACTAGCAGTGGAGCAGGGTTCAATTTCACACAGTACCACAACCATTTGTTACTGGTCGATTTCATGACAGCCGTCATTCTTTGTGGGGTGATGATGTATCTCAGCATTGTTTGCATTCGCAGCTCTCTAATGACCAGTGATATTGAACATTTTTTTTCATATTCATTTGCTGCTTTTACTTATCTGAGAAATGTCTGTTCATTTCAGATGCCCATTTTTGAATTGGGTTTTTAAATTTTGGGGTGGTCTGGGTTTTTAAAGTTCTTTATATACTCTAGATAGCAGTCCTTTGTCTGAGGAACAGTTGATAAAATTGCTTTCTCACACTGTAGCTTGTCTCTTAGTCTGTTGATGGTTTCTCTTGCAGTGCAGCTTTTTAAAGATGAGATCCCAGTTGTTCATACTCTGTGCTAGTTCCCAAGCTCCTGAAGATCTGTTCAAAAATCTTTTCCTATGCCAATGTCTTCAAGAGTTCTACCTAACTTATCTCCCAGTAAGTTTAGTGTTTCTGTTTTACTATTTAGATCTTTAACCCACTTGGATTTTAGTTTAGTGTATGGTGAAAGATATGGGTCTAGTTTTAATCTTTGGCAGGTTGAAATCCAGTTTTTCCAACCATTTATTAAAGAGGTATCTTTCCTTCAGTGAGATGAGGTAGCTGAGTGTGTCTGAAATTGTTTCTGCATCTTCTCATCTATTCCACTGATCCATGGGTCTGTTTCTTTGCCAGTACCGAGCTGTTTTTATCACAATGGCTTTGTAGTATACTTTCAAGTTGGGGATTGTGGTACCCCGTCATGTCTCCGCTGCCTGGAATTGCTTTTGCTATTCTAGGTCTCTTCTGATTACAAATGAATTTTTGGATTGTTTTCTCAAGTTCTGTGAAATGTACTGATGGGATTTCAATAGGGATAGCACTGAATGTGTATAGCAGTTTTGGAAGTGTGGCTATTTTCACTATATTGGTTCTTCCTACTTAGGAACAGCGGATGTCTTTTCTCAGAGTTGCTGTAGTTTTCAATGTAGAGGTCTTTTGCTTCCTTTGTTAGACTGATTCCTAGATATTTCATATTTTTGGATGCTACTGTGAAAGGAACTGTTTCCCTAATTTCACTCTCAGTGAGTCTGTTATTTACATACAAGAAGGTTTTGATATTTGAATGTTTACCTTGTATCCAGCTACTCTACTGAATCTGTCAATTAAATCTAGAAGTCTTCTGGTGGAGTTCTTTGGGTCTTCTACGTAGAGCATCATATCATCAGCAAATAATGACAGTTTCCTCCTTTCCTATCTTTCCTCCTTTTGTTTCCCTTGTCTAATTGCTGTGGCTAATGTTCCCAGAACTATAATGAACAGGAGTGGTGATTGTGGACATTATGATTTTGTGGGGGTTTTTTGGTACCAGGGATCAAACTTGAGTCCTTGTGCTTGCCAGGCAAGCAGCAGAATCACTGAGCTAAATCCCCAGCCCAACATGATGATTTTACATAGCCTCAAAAGAGTAATATCTGAAGTATTCAATGCATATTTGAATACTCTAGGCAGTATAACTTATTAAAAAATCAGTAAAACCAAGGTTAACAACAAAAAAACCCCTGCATTCACCAGTTAACATATAAGTCATTAAGTGCTAATCAATCAGAGCTTTTCAAATTAAATAGGCAATAAAAGTTTATAACATGATTTTGTTGATAATGGATTTATCCTAAATGAAAACCTTGAGCTCAGGCATTATAAGAATAGATTTCTTAGGGCCAGGGATTTAGCTCAGTGGTGCTGCTGACTGCCTCACAAGCACAAGGTCCCAAGTTCAATTCCCGGTACAAAAAAAAAAGAATAGACTTCTTAGGTTACCTACAAAAGCAAACTTTAAATAAAGAAGTCTAATACTCCCATCCACAGGTATGTGGTAAATTTTGTGTGTTCTTTCTGTGTTACAAAAAATTGTGATGATGTGATTTTCACCAATCTTCGGGAAAAATGTTGTGGTCGCTGTATTTTACGAAGTCATGAACAGAGGAGGAAGAAGGAGATATACAAATCTTTCACCTGACCTAAGATCAGAAGCAGCTGATGAGCTTGTTTAATATAAAGATCAAATTTAGCAGAGATACAGGTTCTGTTCCTTCTGAGCCAAAAGGCCTTCAAACTACACACAAGATGGAAGTAAAACTCTAAGGAAGGTGAAGGCTGTCACCTGAAAGTTCTGACAGAAATAATAAGGATATATTTCTTTCGGAAAAATGAACTTTCTTAATTTGTGGTAAATACATATTACACATACTCTTCTCCCATCCCATCCATTAACAGCAGCAATACTTCATTTATTCTTACCCAAAGTTGGTAGTGTCATTTCTCCTTTGTGAGCTGTTTGTTTACAGCCAGAAGCAACTGCTGTAGCTGTGCTATAGTCTGATTTAGACTTACAGACATGGTCTCCTTTTCAGAAGACTCCTAAAAAGGAGAGAGGAGTGATGAAAAACTCCAAATCCAAGGAAAACAATGTACAAACAAAACCAGAAAATATCTTATTTCAAATACAAACATGAAAATTAAGAAAAATGAAATAAAAATTAGCACCAGCAAAAACCACATAGTGTTTAACTACTGGTGCAAACCAGTCAACATCAAGAAAACTATGTTGCATAAAAATGGGCCCTTGGCCTCAAAAAGAAAAATCTATAATCTCTGAATATCAGAAATAAATCCATTTATCCTTTCAGGGAAAAACAAACAAACACAAAAACCATCCAGTGAATCAGTGTTAACAGATGCTAAGCTCTTACTAGGTGCCAGGCAGTCCTTCGTGCTTCCCCATTGCTGTAGGCATTTGCAACGTAGCCCAAAACCTTGACGGGGATAGGACCCAGGACCTCGTGCATGCTAGGGAAGAGCTACATCCCGGCCCAGTACTTTACAAATTAGCTCATTTATTCCTGCCAATAACACCACAAGATAGGAACTAGGATCACTGCTTTGTACAGAGGGGGCAACCAAACCACAGAAAAACTAGGAATTTGCCTAATCACACATGAGGCACTACGGTAGGGCTAGGAATCATATACAGGCAGTCTACACCTCCAGAGCCTACACCCACCCTTACTTAAGAACTACACCACAGCACCTCTCCACACAAACCTTAAGAGTGGACATATCATCTCCCTAAACCAAAATGAAAACAAGTATCAATGAAAACAGTGCACTGTAGACATACACTATTTTGAAGAAAATTGACTTTCAATTAAGTGTTGGACACAGGGGTTGGGGTTTAGTTCAGTGGTTGAATCTAACTTGCGTAGTGTTAGGCTCTGAGAACCAGCACTGAAAAAAACCAACCAAACAAAAAAGGTGAAACAGGGCTGGGGATTTAGCTCAGTGGCAGATCGCCTGCCTCACAAGCATAAGGTCCTGAGTTTGATCCTCAGTGCTGGGTGGGGGTGTGAGTGGGGGTATGCAACACAGAAACACATTTTTTAGTCAGAGATGGATTTTGCACATAGCTTATAAAATAAGTGGCCCAAGGATCTGGGGTTGAAGGAAATACATACCAGTTCTGGGGAAACATCACTATTCTCAATAACAGTAGTATCTACAGCAGCTTGTACTATTTTTGACTGGATAAGATCCAGTGACTGTTGTGCCTGTAAGAAAACCAGTATGTTAAATGATTAACACATACTTAGTTACATATTTCATACAAAATCAATGTCCTTTGAAAATACAAAACGATGACAGCTCTATCCCTCACCAGATTATGAAAGTTCAAATACATAAAACTTTAAAGAAATTTTAAATAAGAATGATGATGGTTGATCTTTAGGCATTAGTCTAGAATAGGGGTCATCCAAATCTAATCTGTTTTTGCACAGCTCAAATCTAAGAATGATTTAAATGTCTTTAAACATTTTTTTAAAACGAAAGAGCCAAAAATATTCAAGGGACTACATGTGGCCCACAAACCCTAACACAGTCCATGGGTTTGCCAACTCCTAGTCTAGATCTGTGTAAGTAATTTGTGCTTAGAGAAAACTACCAGGAAGTTTTCTATCAATGGGTTTACCATACATGTTGTTTTTATATTTGTCCACTTCCAGAAGTAGTTTGCTAACTTTTTCAGTTAAGTATTTTGTGCTTTTCCAATTGAGTGTTTCACAGTACTTCTATTACACAGATACAGTCAAGTGACTGATACCTGCTATCACCATTCTAGCTATCATAACACTGCCACAGAAACTCTCAGGACCGTGCTGGGAAGAATATGAATCACTACTGTATCTGTGGGTTCAGTCTACAGTAACTGTCCAAGTAACAGAAGTGCACATCCCTTGATTCTGCAGATTCAAAAAAAATAACATATAGAATTGTTTTGCTAATGACTGTATCTCCCATAAATACTACTACAGCTCAAAAGTAGCTCTGATAAAAGTGTGTATGAACTATGCCATTGAAAGTATCTCACAATAAAACTACAAAGAAATGCAGTCTTAAAAGATCATCTACGGGGGCTGGGGATTTAGCTCAGTGGTGCCACCATATGCCTCGCAAGCACAGGGTCCAGAATTCAATCCCCGGTACCCCCCACCCCCCCAAAAAAAGAGTATCATCTACCTGTGAATGAGATTTAAAAATATATATTTGTACAAAGAAATAAAAGGAGCTTCTGAAATATCAGAAACTTAACCTAATGATCAGTAGAAATGTACTTTCTAAATGGCTAGTCAATTTTAAAAAATATGATGTAACCAAATTTAAATTGGCTGAACTGCAACTAAATTTAAAACTTTACCCTATAGTTCATAAAACAATTGCATAAATGGGATGAAGTGAATTATGAGGAAAAAAGAACCAAAATATATCATGTACAGGCAGGTACTTATTTCTCAATGATGAACATGATCATAAGGTATACCTAAAATGTACCAATAAACTCAATTTAAAAAAATGGAAAACTACATCAAAGTTTAGTTCCAAAAATGTAACTACACAACAAACAGCTTAAATTTATATGGCATGCAAAAGAACATCAGAACTGACAGTGCTTTTGACTAAGATGCGAGGCACAACACAGGCTCGTGACACCATATTCCTCCAAGTCTACCAGTGCCTCACCTTATCCAAATCACCAGCTACTTTCTGTCTTTCACTTTGTTCCGTTTTAAGTTTTGTGAGTGTTTCATTTAACTGTGTCTTCAACTGAAAAATAAAAAATACCACTTACTTTGTATCCTTCCTTGCTTACGCTGATACCCTAAGACCAAAGAATAAATGTGAAATCGCTAAAGAAGGATTAGCAGAGTGGTTTAGCCAATATGCTGCATCAGATGTACAAAGAAGCTAAGCAGTACAGGCTTCCATCTGTAGACCTAAACGTAAGAAAAGCTATAGCAATAAACCAGAGTTTAGAGTAGAACACTGCAAATCCAAAAACAAAACCTTCAAACTCCAGTAGCCTTGTAAAAGAATCACTATTTATGAAATACTTATGAAAGTTATTCCAAACTTAAAGGCAAACAGAAATTTAACCATTTTAAAGGCCTTCTTAATGTACATGGTTCAATTAAAAAGACTCATTTGTATAATGTTTTAAAGACACTGAACAGATTACAAATTTAAACCCCACCAAGAAATGTCTTAACCATACACTCTCAATAACCAATTTATTACAAGTTAGAATGCTATATAAATCTCTAGTGCTTCTTTTCTGAAAACTATTCTAATCAGATATATAGAAAATAGACTATGTTGCCTTCAAAATACCAAGTGTATCCAGTCAATTACCCACACCCCAATCCACAAACATGACTTTACAGTTCTGGGGCCTGGAGAGGGGAAAATGTAAAACACTGACTATTAAAAGTGGGAGGGATAGCTAACAGGAGGCATTCTAATTTGGGAATCTTATTTGGGGGAACTCTACTTAAATACCAAAACAGTTCTTGCTTCTTTACTTAATACTGAGTTTAATACTCTATGTCAGAGAGGTCAGTCTTCCACACCCAAAACAGAGCATATGTGTAGGCAATATTATGTTATCTTGAACTGTGGCAACAGTCAAACTGAACAAATAAAGATTCCAAACTTAAGAAAAAGGGGAAAGTGGGTGAAATATCACTTAAAGTGGTCTCTTGTCCAGAAGTAGAGAGGCAAAACAACTAACAAGCAAGAACAAGAAACAAAGCATTGGAATAAACTGAGCTGCAACCATAATCCTATAAATTCAATGCAAGGCTGGGCCCTGAAATTAAAAAGCAAAATCTCCAACAACTAATTAAAAATATTTTTAAAAACACACTCCCTTACATCTAATTATATATAAATTATATATAAAGATTTTTTTAAAAAACAGTGGTATAATCATAGTCCTAATCTATGCAATGAATAGCAAATGTGTACATAAAACTCATCTTACACTGCAGTGGGAAAGAGTCCAACTAAATCGTTGGCAAGTAAGACAAATATTTTATTTAAAAAAAATAAAGGTGCATTTAGTGCTCTCTATGTATTTCACATAATATGCTGATTCTCATAAATCACTGCCATAACAAAGAACAGCCCAAAATTAAAATTTTTCCTGGTACATGTAAAGAAGATAATAAGAAAATTCCAAGTCAGGCAGGGTTAATTTTGGGTAAGGAAAAAATTTATTGTAATTTCTCTAAAAACCAGTATGTTCAGGTACTTAAAAAAAATCTAATCCTGTGCTACAAGTTTCAAGTTACAGATGTAATACATGTGTGAAATAGGGAACAAGATAGCCATAATCATCTAACAGCTAAGTCTGTCGACAATAATTATGCATTTTTTTTAAAAAATTTAAGAACCGGAATGCCATGGAATCATTTCTTAAGGCAGTCGACTAATCTCTAAGTCTGTATTTTTTGGATTACTATGTACTAAACATGTTGATAAAGAATTTTACAAGCTCCTTGTATTTTATAATTTATGAAGATTAGACAAAATAAGAAACTGGACTGCACTACTGCCCTAGAATGAAGAGCAGTTATCTTCAACCTTCAATAATCTTCCAGGTTAGAAAATGAGAGGCCCAGTTAACTATGATAGCTTGAGAAGAGAATATTCACAACTTGGCCAATCATTTGTTTTGTTTCTTTATTTGCTAAAAATGATGTTGTCCGAGAAATTAGGCTTTATGAAAATACAGAGTCAGAAGTCAAACATGCCATTGTTAGGAGTTAAGAAAAGAATCATTTTATGAGTCATGAAAAAGATCTTAGGAATCACCAGAATATAAAGATTATCTTAAAATTTATAACATGCCAAGCTATAGATGGTTAGCAAGGAAAAAAAAGTTTGGACTGTTTCTCCACATGTCAACACAAGTGTTTTCAGAGCCTACTTGGTACCCAGTGGAGAACAAGTTTCTTACCAAATTTAGCTCTTCATTCTGTCTTACTGCTTCAGAATATGAATCATCAAGTTTTTTCTGCAATTCAGTCAACAGGTCTTTCAGCTGCAATGAAGTTTAGAGTTTTAAGATTGATCTTATGATATCCCATGTTTTGTACGCTACTCGGAAGCTCTTGCACAAACAACTTACATGGAATTATTTTACCAACTTAAATTGAGAAACAAGGCTGAAAAAATTTTAAGTACCTCTCTCACTTCTGTAACATAGGTAGATCGTTCAATTTCTGCCTTCTCTAGCTCCATCTCCAAATGCTCTCGTTCTCTTCTCAGCTAGTATTGCAACAAAGAACAAACAGTCAACACATGTAAGACTTCCTTTCATGATGTTTCTTCACAATGGAAAGTTAGGACACTTACGAACACAAAACGGGATCAACTCAAATAACTATACAACGTATTAAGAGAATAACCATATCATTAGATAAAAGCAGTCTTTTTTTTTTAGGTTTTGTGGTACAGGGGATCGAACTCAGGACCTTGTGCTTGGTCAGGCAGGCATGGTGCCACTGAGCTAAATCCCCAGCCTACAGAAAGAAACCTTAAAACGCAAATCTTTGGGAAACTCATAATGCTAAAAATAAGTTCACAGATTACAAGACAAACAACATATATTTTTGGTATCTTTATTTTCTCTTCTTAATTGCTCTAACTCTTGCTCTGAAGATGTAACTGACGACAGCATCTAAAAATAATTTTAAGACCAAGTAAACCACAGAGGAGATAGGCAAATGTGTCCGACCTGCAGCCCACCATTTTTATTTTTTTGAGTGAAGAGGAACTATCTTTAGCTGCATACAAAAATATAATATAATTAATATATATATAAGTAGCCAATTTCCATTTTAACATTTTTATTGTAACATTTTTTATAAAGGGGGAAAAAAGGCAGGCCACAGATTTCTGTCTAGAATTTTAAACTAAGACAGTACAGAGCTTCTGAAATACTCCCCACTTAAAATCAAACTGAATTTTTAAAGACCTTAACAATGAGAATTTCACTTCTTTTGAAATTATCTTAGGCCCATTAAAAGTGCCTAAGAAAATACATGTATAACAAAATGGCACACTCTACCACATCCAAGCAAAATAAAAACTAAAGATTGCACAGGAACAGATCTCACAAAACCACAATTAACTTTTCCTTAAACACAATATATCATGTGTTCATTATCTTTTTCTTTTTTTCTTCGAGGCAGGGTCTCATTATGTAGTTCAGGCTGGCCTTGAGCTCACTATATAGCCCAGGCAGGCCTCAAACTCAGGGTGCTCCTCCTGCCTCAGCCTTCCAAGGGCTGAGATTACAGGCCAATTATTAATATTTTTAAACTGATTCTGAACCCAGAACTCTTCGCCATATGTTACTGCACAGAAGTTCTCTCAAATCACTTTACATTATCACTAGCCCTGTGGTCATACTCTAAACTTGTGAGTGTTCACGTGTGGAGAGGCATCGGAATCACCAAGAGGGTTTATGAAAACACAAGCTGCTGTCCCTCACACGTCTCAGACTCTGTGAGTCTGAATGGGGCTAAGAATGTGCATTTCTCACAAAAGTCTCTGTGGTCCTGCTGAGGCTGGCCCAGGTCCTATCTGTGCAGACCAGTGCCCTGAGCTCTTCTTTTTTAAATACCTGCTTAATTGTCTTTTGTAATTCATCGACCTTAACTTTCCATTTATTTTCCTCTTCCTCCACACTTTTCTGTAGCTTCTGTAAAATTCCTTCCTACAAAGATATATAGTTTTCAGAAATCCGTGTTATAATGGCATGATAAACAATTTAGGCTATGAAAGAGTATGATAATAGTTTTAAAAGAAAACGTAGATTAAAAATTATTTCCTACTGTTTCTGCAAGGACTGACTTATATGTATCACACTCCAGCTGTAACAGTGTGTGTGTTTCATCAGCTTCTTTCAACTTAAACTCTAAAACCTGCAAAGAATAAAAAGAAAATAAATTCTCTAAATTTTACCAGTATGTTCTGTGCTTCAATTTTATTTCAGGACTTAATTTTATATTACAAAAATGGTTTCAAATGGTTTATAACAAAACACTAAGAGGCAATTCAGTACAATGACTTTGCTGGTCACATTCGATGGTCACTAAAAAAACTGCTCAATAGAAAATATACGACAAAATTTTGTAATAAACGGGCTTACTTTTTCTTAACTAGATGGTAAAATCAAAGCAAATAAACATGTAAAGGTCACAATGCTTACGCCATACAAGCAACACTTAGGATACAAGAGAATAACAATAACACATTTCTTCAGTTTCAGAAGTAAAAAATAAAAACCAAGCCAGGTTCAAATAATTATTTATTTGGAGAAACTTGAGCACACTGCTAAGACTCTAGCTACCATCTCACTGACTTACATTTTGTGAACCAGTGCTCGCTTCAGCAGCACATAAACTAAAATTGGAACAATACAATGAAGATCAGCATGGGCCCTGTGCAAGGGTGACACGCAAATTCATGAAGTGATCCATGCTTTTGAATGAAAAATGGGACAGAGAATTGGGGGAGGGTTAAATAAAAGAGAGACAAGCGGTGGTAGGTACATGTAACCCGCTCCCTAAGACGGCTGGAAACTCCAGGTCCTAAAAACATTAAAACTAAAAAAACTGACCTATGATAAACAGAGAACAAGAAAGTTACATACTCAGTTTTAGAAACTATTAAGATACAGAATTAAAGAAAGGAAAACAGCTTGGTACATAAATCAAATGCAAAGACACTAAAATGTACAAAAATGATCCCTTCCTCCTACTTTTCTTAAAAGATTAATATTCTCCTAAAAACAGATCCTATCTCTCCAGAACATATGAAAACAAACTCTAACTTGATCCTTTTTCCCCAGGTTTCATTAAAATACAGATAGTTCACTTCCTGAACTAACCTTAACTTCTTCTGAACTTGAAATTCCAGCTATACATTCTTTTGCTTTCTTTTCAAATCCATGCAACCATTCACTGTAACTCTGCAAAGGAGAAAAGTCAAAGTCATCAATTTCCAAAAAATATCCTAAAGAAATGATCAAATATTTAGGATGGCCAGTAGGTAATTCTAAAAGAAACCTACATAGACATCACCAGTCCCTTAGAAATTTCAAAAGGGAATATAACTTTCTTAACTGGAACATAATCCAGTTTTTAAACACTGAAAATATACCTACATACTGCCATCAAAATAATATCCCATCTATTCAGATCAAAAATATTTGCAACTGGGGCTGGGGATTTAGCTCAGTGGTACGAAGCCTGCCCTGCAAGCAAAAGGTTCTGAGTTCAATCCTCCAAAAAAAAAAAAAAAAAAAAAAAAAAACAATTACAACTGAATATGATCTTAAAGGTGGAAGACTCAGGTTCAAACCTGGCTTTTACCACTTATGAGCACCAAATCTTTAAAACATTGAAAATCCAGAATGAATAATTTTTCAATACTTTTCTTCAAGCAAGAAATTTCTTAAAGTATTAAAATTAAAAAGCTGAAAGTTCTACTGAAGATTTTCTGTTCAGAAGATTTCAAAGTCTTTGAAGGTGCTCCAGGATTTCTGAAAATATTTCACAAAAGTTAAGAAATATGTATATCACATTTTCTCTTAATTCTTGTTGAGTCTTTGGTTCAGTTTAATTCAAGAAAAATTTCTATTAACTTCTTCACGATAAAGCTTCACTTAAGTGGCTGAATCAGAATGCTCTGAACTATCAAGAATAAAAAAAATGGATGTTGAGAACACCTCACAGTATTCTCTATCTTCAATATGACACTAGCTTAAAGAGCCTCTCCACTTTGAAAGAACGACATTTTGATATTATAGATTTGAATCAAGATTAAATGTATACTTATAAAATCCTACTGAACAGTTTGAAACATTGAGATCCAACATAACGTCAGATGAAAAGCTGATTTAAATACTTAAGAGTTTGTAAGTCTCCCTTCAGGTCATATAGTTTAATCTCCCCTGTGGTAATCTGCTTAGCAAAACAAAAATAACACTAATGATTATGTTATCATGCTAATACTAATGAAGCTTGTTTTATGAGTAGGTAAAGTAAATAGTAGGTTGTTTTTCATGCCTTTTAAAAACATAAAATGTAGGACCATGGATTTAGCTCAGTGGTGCTGTCACCTGCCCACAAGCACAAGGTTCCAAATTCAATCCCTGGTACAAAAAAAAAAAACCAAAACAAAAACAAAAATCCCTAAACTCTTAAACTCTTGAGTAACCCACAGAACATTTAGTATATTTCTTAAATACAGACTGCATGCAGAAATATTCAATTTCTACTAAATGTATAAACAAAAGCCAAAGACATCATCCAGGGCTTACAGGGATTTGTCAATTTTTATAGGTTCACGAAGATTTGTTTATTGAAGGTAGGTGGAACTGCCATTAAGAATTAATCTGCTACATTAAAAAGAAAAGTTTTACTGCTGGTGATTTTAAAAATTCTTTGAATAGAAACTATGAAGCATTAACTCTCTTGGCTCATAAAATACTATCAAAGAGGGCCAGGGATTTAGCTCAGCGGTGCTGTGGCCTCCCTCGCAATCACAAGGTCCCGAGTTCGAGCCCCAGTAGGAAAACAAACAAACAAAATACTATCAAATAAGCCTCTAAATTCTACTTCTATTAACAAAATATAAAACAGAAATAAAAGAAAAAATATGAACTATATTAGCAGCAACCCTTCTCCTAGACTCCATAGAAGGGCAGCACTAGAACTGACAAGTTTATCTCGCTGTCTACCCGGTACAGGATACTTCATCAGTTCAACTCGAGCAGCAGAAGTCTATGTAACTCTTCGGCCCAAATGTATCATCAATGTTTACAATTAAACAAAAGAATTATTTCTCTTTATTTGAATTAATGTATATGGAATATAAGAAAGAAAGCAGCTAAACAGACTACACACAGAACAGGCCATTAAGTTTACTTATACCACCCTTAACACCCACACCTAGAAGAGCAAAAACACATTTCTTGTTGGGGACAGGAAATGCAATAAATCAGCAACATCTTTTTATACCATAAATCACAGAGGTTAGTGCAGTGTTGTGTCAAAAGGACTCGAGAGCCAGCCCAAAGCAGACTTTCTAAATGACCTCCTGATGGAAGAATTGCCCACATCACTGTACCTCCAAAATACTAAGACTGAGTAGGCCTGCAGTGAATACCAACTCATAGGCTACACAAAGACACCAGCCAAATCAAAAGTGAGGAAATTTCACTCCATGGGAAACTACTAGGTTTGCAACAGAAAAATGGTAGAGGGGTTTCCAATGGAGGGCAACTGGTGGAATAAAACAACATCTTAATCCAGAGTCACACCTGATCTTACTTGGGTACTGATTAAAACAAACTATGATGAGTTATTATTTAATAAAACAGACAATTTCACGTATCAAATTGAGGAATCGAGCAATGACAATACAAAACTAAGGGTGTATTTTTAATGACATTTAAAAAGGAATTCTCATCTTTTAGAAAGATGCACTGAAACATTTTCAGATGTAATAGTGAGGTTTGTGTTCCTTCACAATGATCCAGGCAGCGCCAAGTGGGCAGTAAAGTAAGGCTGTTTATGTGCTGTCACGTAGCACGTACAGATAACCGCGGAAGTGGGGTGCTGAACTCACTGTTGTGTTCCCTCTACTTCTGAGAACGCGAACGATTTTCCATTCTAACAATCACCCACTCCAGGAAGCGGCCTGCACCCTCAGTGGCCATGTCTACTGTATTTATTTTCTGAACCAAAGTAACTTTTCTCTCCCACTTAAAAGATGTCAACCCTAAGTAAAGCAAGTTTTCTATTATCTTCAAGACGTTTGCTTGAAGAAGTTAATAGACGACCAAAATCTTGAATTTTTCAAATGTAAAAATCCTGTTAGTGGTATCAAAGACATTCAGACACATTGCTAAAATGAAGAGGTAAGCCCTTAAAACTCAGTTCTACTTGTGAGTCAAGCCATTAAGAGTATTACTGATTTTATTGACCATTCAGAAATCCTTTCTTCCCAAATATGATGATTGTGATCCTCTAAATTTTACAGACAACAAAACTAGCAGGTGAATAAAAACAAATGAGTTTTAAACTAACTTATCAATCCCAACTACTCAAAAGCACCCTGGGTTAATAATGGCAAAGATTAAGAAACTTAACAATCCAAGTGCTGAGAACAAACGCTATGAATACACAACTTCCTCTGGTTTTTTTTGTTTTTGTACCAGGGATCAAAAGCAGGTCCTTATGCTTGCAAGGCAGGCGGCAGAACCACTGAGCTAAATCCCCGGCCCCCATAACTTTCTTAAATAATAACGTATTTTAAAGAAATCGGTCTTACCAAATGAGAAGGGACAGACACCTTTGGAAATAATTTTTTAAGAACTTCTTTAGCCTCCAACTCAACAGCTTCCACATACTGCCTTTCCTAAAGCAGAAGATATATCAAATCAAACTTAGAAGGTTACAGAATTTAAAAAGAGAAAGCATTGTGGTATTTTAAGATTTAAAGGAAGAAAAATCAATGTAAAATTATTTTAATACTGACAAATATCAAGTTTTCCCATTTCAAGAAATCAAAATGCTTACATAATTTAAAAAATCAGCAAAATTTCTAAAGCATCCTGAATGGCAAATAATATCATGTATTAATAAGCCAAAACATTTGAAAAAAGTGGACGTTTCCCTTGGCATTTTAAGTCAACTGATCTGTCTGAGAAAAATTAACCCCCGAACAACCAAAAATAAAATAAAATACAGTTCTTACAGCTACAACTTTATATACTACCCTGCCAAAGAATACACACATATAACTGAGACTTACTGGCAAGGAAATCTCAAGGAGGAGCAAGGTGAGAGATGGCGAATAGGGGAGGGGAAGAGGAGGAGAAGCAGGAAAACAAGAAAAAGAAATGGCGTGGAAGTAAAATGGCAACCTTCGTATTTCCACCTTCAAAGTCAGGACAAGACATGTGTGACAAAAAGAACAAAAAAGACCATCAAAATTTGATGGGTGGGGCCTGGGGATTTAGCTCAGTGGCACTGCTGCCTCACAAGCGCAAGTTCTTGAGTTTGATCCCCAGTACCCCCCAAATTAAAAATTTTTGATGGGTGGTAGAAATAGGAAAAAGAGGAAAGGAAACAAGGAGAAACTGACAAATAAATGATCCCACGTATGCCAAACATGAAGAAGACTAATTAGAACACTTCTTTATAGGGTCTGCCAGCTGTCGATTTCAGTTATTACAAATATATGTCTAAATTTACTGATTTTAAATGCAACTCCAATCGATATCAATTATAAACTCAAAAACATGGTTTGTCAAAATAAGGGTAATGATTTGATCACAAACCCACCACCACCCACACCACCACTACCATCAAAAATCTAATATTCAAACAATCTCTGCAAGATTAAAAAAATAAAAAAGACACCTACAAAAATGAATGTCTAAACCAAGGCAAGTAAATCATTTGAAAACAACACTTGTGAAGTTCAACAGGGTGACCAGGCAGGCAAACTAGCAATATCGCAATGGTACATCTCTCCATCAGTTAGAAGTGATCTCTGAAATCTACCACTGGTTTAAGGTGCACACACTTTAATTTAAATCTAATAACATGAAAACTAAATTTGCATAACGAAGCTACACGTGTCATTTTCTATACACTCAAAAATCTGTTCCTTTATCAAGGATTAGTGACAATATCTTAAAATAAGCATTTTTTTGGGTTATTTTCAACCAACTGAAAAACACTACACATCACAACAGTATATAAAGCTGCCTAAACGAAGGTATATTCACTCAAAGAAATACTGTTACTTCAGAGACAACTTAGAGGGAATTTTTATCATTTGACTAGGTTTTTTTTTCTTTGAGTCAGAGTCTCACTACGTAGTTCAGTGTTTCATTGTAGCCCAGGCTGGCCCTGAACTCAAAGCTAACCTTCTGCCTCAGTCTCCCAAGTGCTGGGATTACAAGCATGTTCCACCACACTCAGCTGCCAGACCACACTTAAAGGAAAATCAATTTTGAAAAAGCACCGGCACAGAAGCCTTCTTTTGGTAGTAGTGGTGGTGTACTGGGGATTGAACCCAATATCCAGCAATGACCTACATCTTCTTGAGAGGCAGTCTCACTCAACTGCACAAGGAGGGTTTGAAGTTGCCACCTTTCTGCTTCAGCCTCCCAAAAGTGCATGTGCCACCACACCCTTCAGGAACAGAAACATTTTGAAAAATTTCCAAGGGAAAATGAAAATGAATCCAACTAAAGTAAGTTTGTATAGGCAAAGTGGGAAGGATAGGGGAAAGTTAGTAAGGGGAAAATATGAGAAAATGAAAAAATGGAGATGAAGTGTTTGTAAAGGGGGAGGGGAGGAGGGGTGAAGGGAGGGCAGGGACAAGGGGAAAAGATGAGAACCAAGACCTGTCATGTAGAGGTACAAGATCCCAATAATGAATGTAACTGTACTGTATACCTAAATGTACCAATCAACCCAATGAGGAAAAAAAAAAAGTTTGTAATTTGCAATCAAGAGCCACAAAGATGAGGTTGCTTTTATTATATATTAACAATTTTAACTACAAAGTTTTTATTTGACACAGTGAGTTGCTTATAGATAGCAATTTCCACTTCACTTCAACTCCAGGAAAAGATCTAATATTGGAAATTGCATTTATAATTTCATTACCATCTTTAGGTGAGATATATAAAAATTATCTTACAAATAAACCTATCATTAAATTAGCTCCTCAAAAATATTACTTTAAAAATAATACTGGAAAAGTAGTAGTATACTTCTGTTACATTTTAGGTAAGCTAACCAAAGTTACTTATTTCTGCTACCTAAAACCCTAACGATGTTTTACACAGTTGCGTTCACAGGACAGTGTGTGGCAGTAAATCAATCAACACCACTTCACACCTATGCTTTCTGAGGTCTAAACTCCACTGAAACAGAGAAGGCAGTAAATTCTCTCTATAGATTATTAGCTATGCAAGAAGCCATCGTGCACATAAGCTGCAGCTTTCTTTTGTAACCATAAGATGCTTCTGGGTCAGTGGCACATACAGTAACTTTGCAGGAACAGCATGATCAGCACTTCCCTAGATGTCCAGTCCCACCAACACAATAAAAGCAAAAGTAGGGGGGGGGGCCACAGAAATCCTACCAGAATTCTCATGCTAACAGAAATATCTGTACAACTGCAACTGTTCATGATGAAACAATGAATATCTCATCTGGCCTCAATTTTTCTACTCTCTGGCCTAATGTTTATCTGGTCCTAAAACTAAAAGGTATCTCATACTCAGGAATTAGTGAAAATTATACCCAGATGAATTGGTATAAATCTACCGCACTAAATAAAATGTAATTATAAAGGCCATGCAACATTTTTGTATAAAAATATAGTTAAGAAAAGTCAAATGTCCCCAAAACTTGTATTAAAATTCAACAAATTATCTAAGCACACAAAATTTTTAGAACACTGAGTATAATAATATAAGCATCCACTAATCCATGTGCAAAATTCAATACTCCTACTGCACATTGGTTCAACTGTCTCAATCTTTAAAAATTATCTCTTCATTATAATTAGAAATCTTTCACACTTGATGATAACTTAAGCCCAAGGAGAACGTCCTTCATTGTTTTGAAAACAAAACAGGGATATATGTTTCAGAAGTAAGTTTTGTGGCTAAGTCCTCCTCTTCTAAGGAACTTTCCCCATTAACATACTCAAAACTGATCTCTTTCCTGTATTTCTTTCTTTCTTTTTTGGTACCGGGGATCGAACTCGGGTCCTCGTGCTTGCAAGGCAGGTGCCAGAACCACTGAGCTAAATTCCCGGCCCTCTTTCCTTTATTTCTAAAACCTTTTGTTATTTTCACACCTTGTCTGAGTCTCGGTGTGCCTCCAAAATCCCTAGTCCACTGTGCATTGTAGACACATGCCAGGCATTCACATGTGTTTGTCAAGTTTTGATGTCTTTGGTTCAGGGATTTCAAAGTTCTCCTCATCACCCCCACAGGCACACCCTGTCCAACAAGGCTTGTACACGAAGCACAGGCCTTCTGAGTGGTCTAATTAAAGCAGTGCTCGCAAAGACCCAACCATGAAGTAAGTCACCCCAACAAAGCAGCATATCCAAGAGTAAAACCTCAAGTAGACGACAAAAGCAAAGATGACAGAGATGACAATGTGGACAAGGAGATTTTATATTTAAACTGCAGTAAAGTTAAATGCTTCAGTCTGATTTTAAGACAAGCTGCAGATTTGCTCTGTCCAGTGGACTGTTTCTAGAAGTTAGTGTTACAACCTTGGAAGTCTTGTTCACTTTGTCCTGCAGCATTTTTTCAGTTGATGCCAACGCTTCCATTGCTTCCCAGTTTTTCTCCCGAAGGTCCTAATCGTTTTTAGAAAGAATGATTTCAGTTTTTCCATTATTAGAAGATTTTTGCTTTTTACTTTCACCAGTATTTTGCACTGCATTTAAATGCTGGTTACTGAAAACTTATTTCAATGGAAAAATATGTATATTAGCAAAAAATAAAAAGCAATCTTTAGAGTTTGAATGAAAAAATAAAGAAGCCCACTTTCCAAGTTTTAGTATACACGCCAAATGTGCCAGCTTTTAAAATAACCATTGTGCATGTGAGATGAAGAAAGCATTCGAGACTAAGCACACAAACCATGAGTAGTTACCATATGTTAAAGGGTTAAAGACAAAGCAAACTCACACACGTACTGCAAAATCTCTTCATGTGAAATCTCTTCATGTGATTTTTAAAGCAAAGTCCAAATCACTCATGGGACTTTGCATAGCGGCATCACATGTTCCCTCTAACTCTTTTAATACATTTAACACCTTTCTGACCTAACTAGGAATGACAAAGGATTAACCCACTATATCCTCTACCTTTCTTGGCAAGGACAAATGTGCATGTCACAAAACAACCTGACACCAGTTGTAACTGCCTGAGGCGAATGAGGTATCTGGAAAGCTGTAAAACACATTCTCTTAGAGGAGAAACAATTCCTTCAAAACTGAGCTCTGAAAGATCTAGATTTTAATTGCACTTCACTAGGAATTACAGACAATATGCAGTATTTCAATCTTCCTTCACAGTTAGAAATCTAAGCATAAACAAAAAATGAAAAGCCAATAATCACCATTTATTGAATGCTTAGGTGCCAAATATTATATACTTCACAAACTCTCATTAATCCTTACAGCAATGTATAAACTACAGCATTCCCACTTGAAAGATGGGAAAACCACAGCTGACAGGAAATCCGGCCAAGCACACACAGCAAATGAAGAGGCAGATCTAGAGTAGGTGCTACACTCTGCTGGCCTCCAGTTTCCTGGTTCTTGCCCAAGTCTCAAGGCCTCCAGGTGCTGTGGCGGTGGTGGCGGCGGCTGCTGCTGCTGCTGCTGTATCAAACTGGCATTTTCCATGCCCTCCTTATCTCAGAATCCCACCGTGAAACACAGTCAAGACGTTAGCAGGACGTTGGTAAGTTCACCTCAAGTTCTGTGGCTGAGCAGTGCAGTTACTGATGTCACACAACACACCGAGGCAATTCACATACCTACTTTTGACAAACTCAGGGGTGCAGGAAAATGCCAACTTGTTACATTAAAAATTTAACGTAAACTTTGAAAAATGTTCCTTATTGTAGAAAACATATCCATTTATTATCGCTACTCTCTTACATTTCAGTAACATTAATCATACTTTTGTATGAGAGTATCTTTTCTCTAGGTAGAGTGTGGACTTTGTAGGTGTTGCCCCTTAAAAGAATTTGTGGAATTCACCTACATTCACTATTTGCTCAGTACAAGTACTGCATTAGAGTTATAGTTCTTAAAAAATGGCTCCTGTCCATTTGATAGTATAAATTTATTGAGGTTCTAAGGCCTCCAACAGACTTGATAACCAAAATTCATAGGAAAGTCTTTCAGTTTAAAAAAATAGAGGAAAACACAGAAGGCTCCAAAAACTTTAAATTATTGAGAATATTAGGTCTGAATACTGGCATTACTTTTAGTCTACAAAAAAGGCAAACCTATCTAAATAAGAAGAAATACTTTTAATTTTAAAATATTGTTTCACAGAATTATTTTTCCAGATTAAAAACTAAAGAAAAAGTCAACTGCTAGTTAAAAATAAAACTAGTATAATCATAGCTTCCATATTTAAAATGATATTTGTAAGGGTAAAAATTGACTTCTGACCTACAAAAAAAACTTGATCTCCAATAAAATTATTCTAATACCCTCCAAAAGCTACAAGCAGAAAGCAACAGTATTTTCTTACAAAGATTTAGAAATGTAAAGTAAAAATAGATTCAAAGAAAAAAGAAACTCCTAAACTATCTTTTTATATTGAAAAAAGGAAAAGAAAAACTTCATTCTTGTGAAGATTAGCTTACATTGTTTTTCTTCCTCTGATGTTCAACAGCATCCTTCAAAGAATCTAATTCATTCTGGAGACCAGTTATTTCTTTCTCTCTTTCTGAAATTCTGAACCAGAATATGAATACATGTTTGTGGTAAAGAACAATTTTAGATAAGCAGAAGCACAACTTAGATACTAGCTAACCAGTCATATAATGCTGATAACTACATATCATTGTTACTGCAGATAATGCTTCAAAAAATGCATTGACTTGACAGCTAAGCCACTGTTTACTACAGAAAGCCTACTCTATGAATGCTTAACTTCAGAAATAATTTTTAAAATGTTTACACACATGACATGCTGAGGTTTGTGCTAAAGAGAAATTATGAACTGCTATAGTTATTTCCTTTTTATCTGGTGGTGCAGTAGTTATTTATTTATTCACTTGTTCACCCGTTTACTCAGAAGTGAATCTAGGGCCTTCTCAGGTAAGCTATGTCCTAACCCCACCCCTTTTAATTTTTTGAGACAGGATGTCACTAAATTGCCCATGCAGGACTCAAGCCTGCAATTCTTCTGCCTCAGCCTCCCAGAATGCGGAGATTACAGTAGTGTGACCCAACTGTAGGTATTTCTCTACGGACAGACAACTGCTACTGAAGCAGTACCTTAACTGTATTTTTTTCCCATGGGCAATGAAATCAGTTATGACCATTAAGTGGCTCACTCCCAAAGATAATATGATATTAAAATGACAGATGAGGCCAGAAATTTAGATCAGTGGTTCTGTCACCTGCCTCGCAAGCACAAGGTCCTGAGTTCAATCCCCAGTACCAAAAAAATTTAAAAAACAGGTATTCTCCTGCCATTTCCACACCACACCCACACGCACAGGCTTCATGCTCCCCACCCTCCCTATGCTAATGAGTTACTTATGCAGAAAGCAATGACAGAGACTCACATTGGGCTGTCACTGCTGAGAGCGGCCTGGGTAGAAAATTAAATGACAAATGGTTCTTTCTTAAGAATAAGATTATAAAGGTTTAGCTACAAATTTAAATGAGAATTTCTCAATTTTCTCTCTTAAAATAAGAGGCTACCCGGCCCACAATCTATTTGGTTATGGCCCTTAAACTAAGAGTTGATGTTTCATTTGTTTGTTTGTTTTGTTACTGGGGATCAAACTCAGGACCTTGCACTTTTCGAGGCACGCACTGGTGCCACTGAGCTAAATCCCTGGCCCCTCGTTTGTTTGTTTTTTTGTGACAGGGTCTTACTGTATTACCCAGGCTGGAATTCAGGTGGGCTCAAGTGATCCTCCTGCCCCAACCATACAAGTATAACTAAAGGTGTATGGTGCTATGTCCAGCCTCTTGTTTAGGTTTTAAAAAAAACCCTAAAAACCATTGAGAAAAAGCAATGGAAAGAGAAGGGGAAAGGAAACAGAGCCCTATGTACCTCACAAGGCTTAAAATATTCACTATTAAGCCCTTTATAGAATATATACGTCAGGCTTGTTTCATATAGTCACACTTAAGTCTTAAAACAGTAAATAATTTTAACCTTATAAAGGATCAACAAACCAAGATGGAAAGATATTTAGATTACTTGTATCACCTGCAAGAATGCTTAATGTGGTTAAAATTTAACATGCTGAGATAGACTATAACATATCTGAAATGACCTTAAATGTAGCCTCTTAGATAAAAGTAACTATAGGTCAACAAGAAAAGAGTTTTTCAGTAAAAATGGTTCTCCTTAAGAGAGCAACCATGAAGATTATAAATTTTCTTTAAATGCAAAGGCTAACCCAAAATTTGCACCATTCAAGTCCAAGTCCACATGAGATTCAGAATAAAGAAGACTCAGTACGACAACTGAGATAATTAAAGGTTATTTAGTAAAACCTTAAATACAGCTTGATATAATTCAATTGGGTGTTTCCTGAATGCCTGAAAAAAGAAACTAAAAACTAAAAACACCCAAACTTCTCCAACAAAAAATTTTTCCAAGAAATCCAAATATCATAAAAAGGATATAAATTGGCAAAAAAGTACAGGGAAGATCCACTACTCTGTAGTTCAAGATATGTAAATAATTGTAAAACTTAAGATGACCATTTGCAGGTATATCAAAATGCTTCTCTGAACCAGTAAGCACATTAAAAAGTCACCATTTCCCATACAGTCAATAAAACTTACTACTCACACTTTTAATAATTCTTCATGAGAAGGAAAAGAGGCCTATTAAAAAAGATAAACGTTATTTCAAAACAAGCTTTAAGAAAACAAAAAAAAACCTTTTTTCTCAGATATCAATTAAGTCAAAGCTAAAATTACCATATTTATTCCCCATGCCAGCATCTTAACTTTAATCAAGTGATTTTAATATGTACAAATTTAGAAAAAGTACTGAGTGCTAGCTCACCTCTTCATTTCATAACTACATACTTAAAAATTCTTCACTTAACAAGTATTTATCAATCTCCTAAGTGCAAAGTACTAATACCTTAAATTTTTACACTGCATAATTCATACATCACTATGCAAAAATTTTAAGCTTCTAAAATTAAAAAAGAACATTAAATGCAATCAAAGGAAAAACTAGCACAACTAAATTTCCTCACATACCATAGTTTATTTTACATAATATTCAAAGTTACATGGTCTTCACATAATGATATTCATTCTTTGATGATTAGTCTCCTGAAGTAAACTACTAGAAGCTTTTTGTCAATAAGCAGTCTAATTTTTTGTCCTTCAAAATACATTCTGGAACATCCATAAATTCAAGAAAATTGTGGGTAATGCACCTTTTTTATAAACTCTATTTTAATTTCATCGAGTAGAATTATACCTCAAAAAGGTACTTTTAACAGTAGTAGGCCATCCTTTATAATACTAAATATGTGCTAGTTTCACTCCGATTATTGAGGTTCTGTTTCAAGAGATAAGAGAAAGAGTATACACATACTGTATATTTAAACTGACCTCCACAGGAATCTGACTCGCTAAGAATAGCATACTAACGAAATCAGAAAACACAGACATGTAGTACTCAAAGACTGATCGTAGTATTATTTGTGTATATTTTTATAAATTGTTGATTACTTTATCTTGAACATCGCATGGAAATTTGGTAAATACAAATAAAAGGACAAACATTTTATTCTTCATGAACTTTGAAAATGGTAAGACAGCTATTAATTAGTTATATAATTTTTAACCACATAAATAAAAGACAAGACATCTAACAGTACCCACTTGTTGGTAATTCTGTTGCTTAAGCTGCTCAATCTGGGATTTAAGTAATTCGTTTTCATCTTGCACCTCCTATTTAAATAAAAATTAAATATGAATTGCTAGACGGGAGATTTTCATTTTCCACATAAGCTTTTAAAACATATACAATCTAGAGAAATTCCAAAGTAGTAACAATTCCAAAAGGAAACAATAAGAGGGTTATTAAAACATACTCACTCAGCAGTAGCCTGGGAGATGGTTTGTCTCCCAGGAACATAAAGGGACACAGAAAGACAGGGAAGCACCCCCACCCCCAAGGTGTTTCCAGGCAGCATGGCGAGCAGCCTCAACTTTGTGGAGTGCTTTGGACTGGGCACTTTTCTGTTGTAGGGAGCTGTTCTACTCACTACAGAGTATTCAGCAACATCCACAGCTGCCACCTAGTATGTTAACAGTACTCCTCCTCAGCTATGACGACCAAGGACTCCAGTTACTACTGAATGTCCCTGGGGAGCACAGTCATTGAAGAAATGACATGGCTTCACTTTTAAAGGTTAGAATGCTCTTTTTAGAACATACTGAAGTTACATATGAATTTTCAAAATGTGAAACTATCTTCATGATCAGAGTGAGAACTACCACTCTCCCAAGACTAAAACTCAGCAAAATACTTTTACTTCAGTAAATAAACATTTAAACTCCCCAAAAAGAGGAATCAACACAAAAGAAGTCTAAAGAAAAAAATGGGGGGATTGTCACCTCACAAATAACAAAAGACTAAATTCCTTATAAATCAGCAAGAAAATCACCCCAGAAAGAAAAAAACGTGTGGAAAGATTAAAGGATATTTCATATACAAATGGACTACACGTATGAAACCAGCTTATCTTTTCTCACAAATGCTAATTAAAAACATTCCTTTCCTTTTTCAAGTAAACTGTCAAATGTTCCCACCTTCTGTCAGTGTTGGAAATGAGGAGGAAGTGGCCATGCATTGGCCAGGGTATAAATTAGTAAGAACACATCTGGAAGGCGATGTAATGGTCCTAACAGAACTGAACATGGGCACACGTGAAGAGTGTGAACATGAGACAGAACTAGCCCTTGGAGCATGAAATGTGAGGCTACACAACACTGCAGGGACCTACAAACGTAAAATAAAACAAAACAAAACAATGAATAACACCTGATCCAGAATTTTACTTCTAGGAATTTATAACACAAGACGCACTCGCAAAAGTATTCAAAATACATAATGCAGTCAAGGATATTCACTGTAATATAGCTTACAATAAGACAAAAAACCCTAAACAGGCTAGGTACCAAAAACTGGAATTGGTTATATAAGAGAAGATAACAACCATACCACACTATGAAGCTCCTAGAAGTCAAAAGCAGAAATGTACACATGTGGAAAGACAAAAACACTATTAACTGGAGGCAAGCAAAAGTTACACGTCTGTATAAGGGCTGGGGATTGAGCTTAGTGTTTCTACCACCTACCTTACAAGCTCAAGAACCTGAGTTCAAACTCTGGTACCAAAACAAAACAAAAAAATCTGTATAAACCAGGTAAGGTGGCACATGTCTGTAATCCCAACACTCTGGAGGCTGAGGCAGAAGGATCATAGTGAGCTCAAAGCCAGCATCATTTACATAATAGACCCCATCTCAAAAAACAACAAGAAAAAATGAAAAGTCTGCGTAATGATGCATAGCATGTTTTAAAAAGTATACATATATTCGTATATTTACATATGGGTGTTTTTTCAAAAAATATAACCAACACTGACATTAGTTACCTCTGAGGACTGTATCATGGCAGACAGCTTACTCAGTACTTCATTTTATAGCAGTTAAAACTTTTTTTAAAAAACATGCAAAGAGGGACCGGGGATTTAGCTCAGTGGTTCTGCCACCTACCTCGCAAGCAGAAGGACCTGAGTTCGATTCCCAGCACCAAAAAAAAAAAAAAAAATCATGCAAGGATAATAACTCACCCAATCACTAATTTCAAATCATATTCACCTGTAACAGCTTTGTTTTGCTAGAAAGATGAGTCTCCCTCTCTTTTAGCATAGCTTCCACTATCTTCATTTCATTTTCCTTTTGTTTCAACCTAGAATTTTTACAAAGACCTTATTTTATTAATACACACACACACACACACACACACACACACACATATATGTATATATATAAAGAAAGCCAGATTCCAGTATCATCTCTAAGAAAATAAGAGAAACAATGTCTACCAACTTTTTCTCTTCATATTATACCAACATATATGTTTGTTTTAAAAGATTTTTTCCAGGGTGAGTGTGCTAAAAATGAAGAATATTCTAAAACCACTTTAGCTTAATTTATAGTTAATATTTCTGAAGCAAACATGGCTTTATCTAGAGGAAACTCTAAAAGAAAGGCTAAAAATAAAACTGCATCTCATCAACTTATAATAAAAATTACCCATTAAAAAGAAGCAAGTTTTACTCCCTAGAATCTTAAGTCATAATTTGACTCTGGAGATTACAATGTGCCCAACACTTGTGACAAAGGGGTGTTACACAATTTAACTTGCTAACCTCTTATCCAGTCTTGATGTAAATCTTAATCTGGTCCAAGTGAATCCCATTAAGTCCTTGTCACTCTAAGCAACAGACCTCTAATATGACACTTTACACTACTAAATGATCTGTTTCTTTAGGGAAAATCTTATCATTTCAATATTCCTAGTGTTTTGAAGGCACATGATAGATTCTCGTGTATCTGCTAAGTGGAACACCATGTATATCCCATCTTCGTCTAGGAAAAACTGTCAAGATGCTGACAGATCTATATGAAAATAACAAGCTAGCATAAATGAAGAGATTAAAGAATGAAAAAAGGGCAAATCTTAAATGCATACCACTAGATGGAGAATGACAATCTGAAAAGGCTACATATTATATGGGCCCAACTGTGACATTTTGGAAAAAAGCAAAACTATAAAGACAGTAAAATTATGGGCCAGGGATGTCGGTCAGTGGCACGGAGCCTGCTCACAAATGCAAGGCCCTGAGTTCAATCTTCCTCCTCCAAAAAAGGAGGTAAAATTATTAGTGGTTGCCAGGACCTCAAGGAGGTGGGGAAGTAAATGAAGGGGAGTGGGATAAATGGGGAGCACAAGAGAGTTTTAGGGTAGTGAAATTACTGTTCGGTACTGTAACGATGGATACATTATCATCATGCATTCGTTAAAACCTATAGAGACTGAACCCAAACGGGAACTATGACCTTTAGTTAACAACAATGTATTGCTACTGATTCATCAAGAACAGTAACTGTGGAGCCGGGGATTTAGCTTAGTGGCACCGCAGCTGCCTCTGAAGTGCAAGGTCCTGAGTTTGATCCCCGAATTCAGAAAAAAATATAATAATTATACCACCCTAATGTAAGATGTTAACAGGGGAAATGGAGTACAGAAGTGATATGGGTACTCTGTGTACTTTCTCTCAGTTTTTTCTGTAACCCTAAAAATGCTTACCCCACATAAAGTCCATTAATTTAAAACAGAAAGGACAAAGAAAATATAAAGCAGAAATAAACCTAAAGTTAAATACTTTGTAACTTGTATACTTTACAACAAAAAGGCCACAAATGTGTCTCTACTAGAAGATGTGGGATGGTACAGGGGATTGGACCCATGATCTTCACAGTGAGCTGCAACCCCAGACTATTTATTTCACTAAATCACTAAGTTGCCCAGGTGCGGCTCCAGCTTGGGTTCCTCCTGCCTCATCCTCCCAGAGTGCTAGGATTACAGGTCTGTGCCAGCACACCCAGATGAAACCACTTTGACGGGTACAAAATACCCGAGAGATGAACAATCAGTTGTACAACCGAGCAATCTTGTTGCCAAGAAGTCGTTTCCCTTGCTTTCATAAAACACAAATGACCTAATAAACATCCTGAATACCTTAGTTTTAAAGACACAGTTTAAAGGGGTACTTCTTAAAACAGAAATCAGTAAGGACTGATGGGCATTATATCAAAGAGAGATCCCTTAGAACTAATTCTACAGGGAAACAAGTTGAGGTTCAAATACCCTTCCTCATTAGTGCAAACTGTTTAGGCTTAAGAAAACAGACTTTATAGGGTAAAAAAGTGTTCCGGGATGAACATTTATAAGAGCAATGCCTCCTACCCTGACTAGAATGAATAGTTTTACTACTCAGCACAAAATAATTGACATGACAAGCTCTATTTTTTTCCTTATGAGCAAGTTATAATTAAGATTTAGTAGTCATTATCAACACTATGGCTAAGATCATCTACTGATTAACTCAGAGATGTTATCCTATCAAATATTAAGCTGATTTTAATTTGAAATAAATTTTGTCTTTACAGTAACTGCTTCGTTTAAAATTTAAAACCACTACATATCTGTGAAATGAACATTTGAGAAAATGAGTTTGATGGGCTGGGGAAGGATAAAGCCACCAGTTTTTTCAAAATGTTTAAAGGCCTTTGCTTTGTTCTTCCAAAAAGAGACTTAGCTTATTTGCATCAGGACTATAATACATAATAATAAAGCTGATGACTTAGGAGAAACCTATCATAATGACTTTTAATCCATATATGCCAAACGAAGATTGCAATTTTTAAAATTTTTGCATGACATGACCTAGAAAAATTCAAGGGACAAGAATTTGAAGAGAAAAAAATTTATTATGGGGCAGAGATTTAGCTCAGTGGTGCTGCCTGCCACCTGCCACACAAGCACAAGGTCGCAAGTTCGATCCCCGGTACCAAAAACAAAATTATTATGTTCCACTGTTATGAGCATTCCGAAAATGGAACACTAGGCATTGAAAGGTTAAGGACATTCTGGAAAACAATAAGTTGACAACACTGGCTAAGAGTATACTTACACAATTTCAAGTTCTTCCAATTGTGATGCAGAATGTGCCTAAGAAACAGATTCACATTTTTAATGCTAGCAGCAAAACAAACCAAGTTCCATAACACATACACAGAATCAACCATCAGTAACACAAAAATATAATTATGTGGCAGATTTGTGCTTAAACCACTTATAAAACAAAGACAGAATGAGTTTTATCAAACTTAAGTTTTTGAAAGAGAGCTCATTCAAAAAATAAAAAGGGGATTTATATAGGGTTATTTTGATAAAATGGGGTGCTAAGCACGACTTAACAGGAATAAAGCTAACGTATTTTAATAGCAACGAAACTACAGTAAAATAAGAATTCTCTGGGCAAATAAACTTGGGACTGGATTAAATTCCTTGCTTTCCAGAATGCCTAAAAGACTCCTCATTCCTTATGTAGGACGCTACTAATATGCTTATATTATACTGTACCTCTTCCAAGTCATGTTGTGCTTCTTGAACATGAGCCTTTAAAGATTCATTTTCTTCTTGGAGATCCTTAAAAACAACAGGTATGAATTGATACTCTTTTTTTTTCTTTTGGTACCAGGGATTGAACTCAGGATCTTGTGCTTGCAAAGCAGGCGGCGAAACCACTGAGCTGAATCTCAGGCCCAATATTCAAATATTAAAAATTTATTTTTTTACTTTCTTTTTTTGGTACCAGGGATCAAACTCTGGTCCTTGAGCTTGCGAGGCAGGCACCAGAACCACAGAGTTAAATCCCCGACCCTACTTTTGTTATTAAAGTCTCACCTGTAACCATTTCCCTCTATTTGCTAGGTCTTTCTCCTTCTCTTCTAAAATAATCTTCGTGGTATTCACCTGTTCCTCCTTTCCTTTTACTCTGAAAATTAGTAAGAAATACAAATAAAAATGTTACATGAGCATAAACAGTGGAGGCTGAAAAAGTATACTCACATACCAAACTGATGAGAATAAATTTAAAATTATTTTAAGTAAAAAGGCATAAAAGGGGCCAGGGATTCAGCTCAGTGGTTCTGGCGCCTGCCTCACAAGCACAAGGACCCGAGTTCGATCCCCGGTACCAAAAAAAAGGCATAAAAGAATTTGAAGGCTATTGAATTAGGAAGTATAGGACAATTAAACAAACAGTTCTATCACTGAATATCCAGACATTAAATATATGAAGGTAGCTCTACAATACATCACCCTGTTTAAGTAATATCAGCATAGATGGCTTATGACAAGTGGGTTGTGTGTAAAACATAGACGTAGTTTCACATGGTAATTAATATAAGCAAAGTGCAACATTTACTTAAAGTCATATTCAGACTATAAATCACAAAGAATTCCCATCCTACCTCCTTCCCAACAAAAAACAAAAATAAGGGCAGGGATTTAGCTCAGTGGTTCTGCTGTCTGCCTCTCAAGCACAAGGACCTGAGTATGAGCCCTGGTACCAAACAAACAAACAAATAAAAATAAAAACAAAATCCTACATGTTAAAGGATAATGAAAAAATGTAATACTGTAAGGCTTTCTGAATAATTTGATGCTTTCTAAAATATTATTTGAAATGAAACATGTAATGATTATCACTGTATTTAACTTCTGGAAGAGAGATATTGATAGGAAAATGACAAAAATAGTACTTACAAATTCTGAAGCTCCTGAACTTGAGAAGTGATAGATAACTAAAATACAAGAGACATAAAAGGTAATTCACAATCCTTTTATCTTAGTAAATTTTATAATACTTTGGATTATAAAGACCCTAGCTCAACTATTTATGCCAAAATGAGACGTTCTTATTTCATCTTTACTTGACTCCAATGACAGTAAAAGTAAGAAAAATGTAACAGGGAGAAGAGTAAAGACAAGGAAGATGGTTTTAAATTGTACTGATATTTCTGTAGTTGTGAAAATCAGGGTATTAATTCTCTACACACCTCCCTCCAGCTGTTATCAAGGACAATTACTCAACAGTATCCTATGACTGTCCCTCTTTAATCTCTTTAAACACATCATACTGTTTATTAGTACCTTTCATTCTTCATTCTATTCTTGCATCCCCTTCCAATTTTGGCTTAGGAGTTAGTTCCTCAGGAAGTGTCTCTCCTAACCCCACAATCTCTGTTATAGAAGGACGATCTTTTTCACTATACCTTGTTTTGTTCAATATATTATCTCTCATAAGTAGTACATGGTTTGACAGGAAGGAAGAACTCAATAAATACTGTTGAATGAATCATTGTCTGGCGAATGAATACTTTCTTCCACATTATGTTCCCATTTTTTTCAATACAGCTTCATCAGATTATATTCCATAAAACTCACCAAATTCCAGTAATCACATCTATCCTTAGAACTAGAACTTGTATTTTGTTCTACAGGCAGAGGTTGGGCAAGACATATTCTGTAACAAATCATTCTGTTCCATGAAGTTTGTTTTTATAAGTATGATTGAAAAAAGATTCACCAAGGGTAGCTCAGTGACACCATGCCTGCCTGGCAAGCATAAATCCTCAGTTTGATCCCTAGTACCATCCCAAAAAGAAAGATTTATCAAATGTTTAGTATTCAGTCTTAAATTGGTAAACTAAAATGAAATATACATAAAAAAAACTTTCTAGAAAATAAACTTTGACCGTTAAGCTTGAAAAGATATATAATATCAAGGACACCTAAAATCAAATGTTAAGATATTAAGGGCATTTTTTTAAATTAGGCAAGAAAATGAAAGCATGTAACCTATATTACCTACAGCATACCACTAAAAGATTTTTTTCAGAGTAAAAAAGAAAAACAAAACTAACATAAATAATACACAGACTAATAAATCTGTCAGGCTATGGCTCTGAGATTTTTACCTTGTGAGCCTTTTCAAGCTGGACATTTCCTATTTCTTCTTTTAGAGCCTCTATTTCCTGTTTCAAATCCTTGACAATGACAAAACAGACAAGATTGGACAATGGAAACACAGAAATTGACATAAAATGTAATGCACAGACAAACAGATGGAATTAAATGATATTAACTGAAGCTGATAAAGAGAAAGCCAAACACAGTATTCTCTTTCTCCCAATACCTGAACAGTTTTCTCCTTATTAGTAACTTTGAGAAGTTCAGCTTCCAAAAGTTCTTCTATAGATTTGATCTTTCCATCTTTCTCATGGATCCTTAAATACATAAATGCAGTAAACTTTAATAGAAATCACCAAAATCCACCATGATATAAAAACAGCACCAAATCATGAAATGGTTCTCCAATCAGTGCTTTCCTATTTTAAGTAGAACAGCAATCTATCTTTGCAAAGAAAAGGAAAAAACAAACAATAAGAGTAAAGCTCTTCCTAAATGAGATTTAATCAGCAACTATCAGATTGCTGGTGCCAATACACATGAAGGTGGTGATAACTTTCAAAAGAACATGGAGAGCCAGGTGTGAAGGCTCAGGCCTGTAATCTCAGCACTTCTGGATGCTGAAGCAGGAAAACTGCAAGCTCAAGTCCTGCCTCAGCAACTCAGCAAAACTCTGTCCCAAAACGTAAAAAGGGGTTGGGATACAGCTGGGTTCAATTCCCAGTACATTAAAAAGAAAAAAAAGTATATAGGGAAGGTAAGATCTGTCCCATGAAGACAACTGGGAGAATCAACTACCAATCAATAGTACTAGCTTCCATGACTTTGAAAGCTGTGGCAGAGCATACACAATTATGGAATTATGGCATCAAATTTTACATCTAAAATAATACAGTATAACGTATTCTTTAATAGTTCCTATTACAAGACAGAAAATCAACAATTTGATATCATACAAAAATAACTGGAATCAATTTTGGAAATTAAAAACAAATCAAAGTAAATTTGGGAAAGACAGCTAACTTCCCTCGGTCCAGTCATGAAAAACTTCTAAAGTCAATGTATACCAGCTGTCCCAACTAAGCAATGAAACTAATGTATGAGTACTAAAAAGTTAAAAGAAAAAGATCAGTTTATAGTAATATTATCACTTACACATTCTTAAGTTCTTCAACTAGAGAAGCAAAAGAAACCTGGAAATATAAAAGCATCTTAATCATTTGTTCAAACTATGAATGAGTCAGAAGTAGAAAAGTACAATTGCCATTGTACCAAAATCTAAATAGGACAAAGGAAGCCCAGAAATCTTTCTAGATGTTTTAAATGTTGTAATGATAAAAATCAATAGCAATTTAAAAGTAGACAGTTTTAAGCCTACTTTTAAGGACAAAAGAAAAATAATTAGATAAATACTTGAATTACTTATGAATTCTAGCCAGGTGAAGACAAAATACAACTAGGAAACTGGTTCATTTCAGGCAGCACATTATTATTTAGTCTTGCCTTTTCACTACTGTAGTAAAAGAGCAATGACATCCTTTTATAAAATACTCTATACTGTATCTGGCATGCAGCCAGCTTTCAATAAAATTGTAGTCTTTTTTTACCAATGACAAGTAACTAATCATTCACTGATTAAAACTGTCTGCCTTGGAAGAGAAAGACAAAAGACTTGGTATATCATCATGTAATGTCTCTGTCCATTGTTTAAAAGAGAAGAGTTGTGGAATACACACACACACACACCTGATCATTTTGCTTAGCCTTTAAGTCTTGAACTTCTTTTTTCAGAGATGAATTTTCTGTTCTTATTGCCTGTTCCAAAAACATGAAGTACAACGTATTTTTATCTTCAGAGGAAGTAGCTAGCGTCAAAATATGATAGCTTCTCATTTTTCTTTAGTTTCTTCTTCTCCTCTCTGGAAGGCCCTCAATCTCACTTGTTCAACATACTGTATAGCTAGCCAATTCTACAGCTGGCCAAATAGTTGTAACTGAAATATACCCACAAATACTTCTATTTACATTGTCCACAACTTCAAAAACATGTAGTGTATCACTTGACAACTAGCAACTCTGTCCTAGTCAAATTAGTTAAGGCTAATGACAACCATAAAACAGAACTGTGCTCTTCTCTCAGCCCCAACAAGGACTTGTAACATCTGCTAATAATCATCTGGTTATAATCTCAGCATGAGTGTGAGTGAGTGAGCATATATTACAAACTGCAACAGCGATACATACCTCATTAAGGCAGTGAATGCTGTAATTATGCATTTTTTGTATGTTTCTATTTGAGAAAAAATGTTAAATTCAATTTGAAGATATAACATATTTATAAAATGTGAGTAATTAATAGTATGTTTAACAGCTGTTAGAAAACCTTATTACAATCATAGTGAAAGCCCTTCATGTTCACAGAGTAAGGACAAGAAGAACAAATCTACAAAATTCCTTACATTCAGTTCCTCCTCTTTGGTGGCCACCTGAATAAGTCCAGTTTCAAGTAATTCTTCTACAGTCTTTAACTTCTCATCTTTTTCTTGAATGCTGAAATTATAAATTTAAGGCATATGTATGAACTATTTTTCAAGGTGAATAACGTTATTCCAAAATATATGAATCAATCCCTCGGTCCAATATTCCTATAAGCTTCCAATACTAGAAAGGATATTTGATGATATTCTAGTAATAGTTCCTCAAGATTAACTGAAATGTGCCCAAGCGGGGTGTGCTCACACGCTATCCTACATGATTAAACCACCACGACACATTACACCCGCACACTATAATTAATGGAGCCCAGCTAAAAGCATACCACATTCTTTTCCACAAATTAAAAACAAGAAGTAAGAATTTTAAGTATCTAGACTAACATAGTTTAATAATTTTGTTATCTCCAGTTTGGTACAAATGAGCCATCAAAATAAAACAAGAAAAATTTAAGGTCTTACCATTTTTCCATTTGTTCCACAACATCTTTATGGGGCTAAAAAAGCAAAAAACAAAATAAAAACCAGCAAAACAGCTCAATTCTATCAAGTTTACATGTAAACTAGTTTAAAACTACAACAAACTGTTTAGAGTTCTAAATACATCTGAAATTTAGGAAGTGGTCCTTATTTTAAAAATGACTGCTACTATATAATTAATCAGAAACTAGACAACAGAAGAAAGGAATTTATACAAAGGACAGACAAAAAGAAAGTATGGGGGGTGACAATTAGTCCTTATCATCCCTAAATTTAAGGGTAAGAGAGTTTGATTCACTAAAATTATACTAGTCTTTACACTCTTCACTTTCTTCCTCTTTTTTTTTTTTTTTT